GAGGAAGATCCGGAAATTTTCCCACGAAAATCTCAGATTCTGGGGAAAAAGAAAGGAAATCGCTTAAAGAGAGAATAAGGAAAAATTTCATTCCAATCGGAATATTTGGGCACAGATTTTTCCTTTTTGTGTGATTTGTTCAAACTGATAAAAATCTATCTTTGGGAAAGAAAGAAAAAAGTTAAAACTGATTTTTTTTTTAGTTTTTAACATTCTCCTTCTTCTTCTTTCAATCTATTTCCTTTTTATTGTGTTGATCATTGTGATCATCGTCTAGTTTATACACACTTGAAAAAAAACGATTTTGTCTCTTTGATTTTTCTCTGGGAAGATAAAAAGAGACAAATTTACGAGTTTTTTTTATTCTTGTCTCTGTGTGTTTGTGTCATAACGAGCCATGACAGAAACTCAACAGCTTCAAAACTCTAATGGGTCGATTCGATCTCCTGAGAAAATTCAAGGTAGTTACTTTTTTGTTCTTCTTCAGAGATCCAATATAAACGGTTTGTATTTTCTTTGAAGATCATAGAAATTTTGTTTTTGTTGCTTTTTGATCATTCATGTCTCAATGTGATTTCCTTTTTAAGAATTTTGTTTCTTTTTGGTAAGTTGTCTCGTTAGATTCGTTCGTGTTCGGATCATTGATTTTTTTATTACTTCTTCAACGTTTATGGAAGTTAAAAGATCACGTTTTTATGTCGTGTGTGATTGTTTAGATTCTGACTGATTGCTCTTTATGTGATTTAACGTTTGACATTGTCTTGTTGGCTTTAGCTTATGGATTGAATTGTTTTTGTTGTTGGTGTTATGATTTTCAGATACTTTTAGGAGGATGAAAGTTAATGAAGACAACAATATGGAGCAATCTAGTCCATATCCTGATCGTCCCGGTGAGCGAGATTGCCAATTCTTTCTGAGAACTGGACTTTGTGGCTATGGAAACAGCTGCCGATACAATCATCCTCCTACTCATCTTCCACATGTGAGAAACTTAAAAGTTTATTTAACTCACTCTTTCTTGCAGTTTTCCTGATACTTAGAGTGCTTACAGTTTGTGACATTTTTGTAAATTTGTAGGGTGTTATTTATCACAGAGATGAATTGCCTGAGAGAATTGGTCAGCCAGACTGTGAGGTGCACTGCTTACACTATCCTTATCATCTCACTTTGTTTGAGTAGTTGTCCCGGTCAAGATTGATACCGTATCTAGTGTTTTTGTTTCGTATTGATGCATTTGACTCAAGTTTCCGGCATTTAGCATTAGCAGTAGTCCTACAACTTGTTTGCTGCAGAACATATCTTGTCTTGTTGTCTTTCCTTATTATGGAAGTGTTTAGTAGTTTGGGTAGTGTATGCGCAATATTGTTTTTCGTTTCTCTGAAGATGTTTTAACAAACATCTCTCCTCTTCCCTATGCAATTTTCTTTGCAGTATTTTCTGAAGACAGGAGCATGTAAGTATGGCGCAACATGTAAATATCACCACCCAAAGGACAGGAATGGTGCTGGACCCGTGTTGTTCAATGTTCTCGGTTATCCTATGCGACAAGTGAGCTTACATTTTTCATTACATTTTTCTTCCGTCGATTGTATGGTTTTATAGAGAACTTAATTTGTTTCTTCTCTCTTCAGGGTGAGAAGTCATGCCCATATTACATGCATACAGGAACGTGTAGATTCGGAGTTGCTTGCAAATTCCATCATCCTCATCCTAATCATCAGCCACTTAATGGCCACTCTACTTATGGTAGTGGATTTCCTTCTGTTGGTTATCCGTATGGTGGTGGATTACCAATGATGTCTTTGCCTCCTGCAACATACGGAGCTATGCCACGTCCTCAAGTTCCTCAACCTCAGGCCTATATGCCCTACATGGTTGCACCCTCCCAAGGCCTTTGCCTTCCTTCTCAAGCCTGGGCCACTTACATGGTAAGTCTTAAAATTATGATTGCTTCTCTCTCTCTGAAGATGCGATAACTCTGCTTTTAACTAATTTCACTTCCCTTTTATCAATTCTAATTTAGCAATCTGAAAGTTCTCGTTGTTTCTCCATGGTGCAGGGTGCAGCTAACCCCATTTATAACATGAATACTCAACCTGACTCCAGTTCTAGTGCATCGGTGCCTGTGGCCGTGACATCGCATCATCATCACAATTTTTCTGAAAGAGCTGAATGTAGGTTTTTTATGAACACTGGAACGTGTAAATACGGAGATGATTGCAAATACAGTCATCCGAAAGAAAGGATGTTACAATCACCACCAAATCTCTTAAACCCTATCCTTCTTCCAGCTAGACCAGTAAGTCTCTCATCTTTCTCTGTTTTACCGCCAACAAGATATTTACGTGATTCGTTCTGATCCTTTTCCCCTAACATCAGGGGAGCTTCTGGTGACACTAAATTACTCTGGTTTTTCTCTGTGCAGGGACAACCAGCATGTGGTAGCTTCAAGGTCTACGGTTTCTGCAAGTATGGAGCAAACTGCAAATTCGATCACTCGATGACACTTAAATCAGGCTTGACCATGTCTTCTCTGCCTACCACTGCTTATGCTCCACCTGTTTCAACTCCTCTGAGAATCTCATCGCCACCAAGCAGCTCTGATTCGATCACTATCTCCAATGGTAAACCCGCTGCAGAGAATCAAAGCTCGGAGACTGAGAAACAAGACGACAGTCCTGCACAACCGGACAAGTCAGAAGCGAAGGACTCATCGCCACCAAGCCACTCTGATTCAACCACCCTGACCAATGGTAAACCTGATGTGGAGAATCCAGTCTCAGAGACTAAGAAACAGGACGATAACCCTGCAAAACTGGACAATGCAGAAGTGCAGGATTCACCCGAAAACTCTTCTTCATGATCATTGATCTCAGGGGTCACTAACGATCTCTCTGCCCTTTTTGTTAATTTTTTGGAAGGAGGGCTTTGAAAATGTTCTATCTTTTTGCTTTTGGGTTTCGGAAACGGCCATGGCTGAAACAAAATAGGAAAAAGAACAGTGTTTTTGAATTGGTTAATAAAATTTGACTTCTTTTTTAGCAATTTTCAAATGTTCCAACTAATCATGTTCAGGTTTTTTCTTTTTTATTTCCTAATATATTTGTCAAACTACATACTCGAATTTTCTAGATATATATATCATAACTACTACATAAACCGGTGAAAACTGGAAAGTGTTAAATTTGGATTGAAGAATTGAAAAAGATTGTTCAGGCTTATTGCTTGACAAAAGAAATGTACAAAAATGAAATCCCACTACCTGAGATAGAGGCTTTACCCAGAAAGGAAAACAAAAACGACGACTTTCTTTTGCTGATGTGTCACTATATGATTGGTCAAGCAACGTAATTCCACGGAGTCTGTGTTCTTTAATTCTCCTGCTTCGCAGAATCGCGAGAGAGAGATACAATTTTAGCGAGAAAGTGA